TCCCTTCTTGTCCATGCTATAATTGGTATGTGAAGTCCCTTTGCTCTATAACTGGCAGTTTGGAATGTTGTAGTTTGTCCTTCCTATTAATTTAAATAAAACTTACCCATTTGATGACAAAGTTGTGACTGATAACTGGCTGAAAAGAAGTTAAGAAAAATCTTTGCTTTAGGTTAATGTTTCATTATGCTTAGGCCTGTGAAAGGGTAGTATTGCACTTTGCTGAGTTGCATAAAGATTCTCTGGTTGGAAGAGGAGGGAGGGAATGAGCTGCGGCCTGTGGTAAGAAAGGGGCTTATGAAACATCTGGAAGCTGCGCAGACTACTAGAAAGAACTAGAAGTAGCTCATAAGACAGGTTAGAGGTATGTGTCTTGTGACATTTGTACTATGTAATTGCCTGTTTTAAATCTGAGTTGGTTTTAAAATCTGTTATTTGAGACTTGTCTGTTGTTTGAGACTGTTCTTAGCCTATTTAAAGATTTATTTTTGTTTTTTTCTAAAGGGAGGTAAGAAAAGCAGGAAGCTTGTTTCAGCTCAGTTGGTGTTGGGGCTTCCAAGCTGACATAGTTGATTACACGTGAAAGGAGGTCTTGCTCCCCTTACCTTGTGGGGTCTTCAGTAGTCTACCATGAGCTGAATCAACCTGCTAATGCAGTGGAAAACTACCTTTTTCGGGTTAACTTTTTGCTTGGGGGCTGAATCAGTTGAGTTGGCCCAGGGAAGTGCTTACCAAGGTCTGGAGTACTTTCAAGGGAGGAAACTGGACCTAGGAGGATTGGTGAGAGCAAGATTTCAAAGGGGAGTAGGTCTTCATCTCTGTGGGTGGTGAGCTGATTAATCACTCTGTCTTGTGAAGCAGCAATAAGAAAAACACAGTTCTGTGAGATGGCTGAGTTAAGCCAACGTTTATCTGCCGCCAAAATGGGTGGACCTGGTTACTGCTCCTTGTCTCAGCTATGAACTTCTGCTTCTTAGCTGTCAGCATCAGCGCTTGTCTGATCCTTCAGAGAGCCAGTTCAGCTCACAAAGGTGACTTAAAAAACAAAACCAAACAAATAGATATGGTCAGAAAAGTGTAAGAGCCATTTTGAGTAAGGAGGTGGAACTGTGTGGGAGTGTCTGCCCATCAGAGGCAGCTAGCAGATTAACTATAGAGATTTGTCTTCAGAATTCAGTTCTGATACCCAGGTTGGGATGACTACTACTGTAATTCTTTTCCTCTGTCACCTTTCTTGGGCTACAGTGGTGCTTGTGTGAACAAGTAAGGAAATTATCTTAGCCCCCCTTCCCCCTTTTTTTTGAGGCATTTTTAGTTTTGAGCCAGATCAGCTAAGATACTCAAACATGAGTAGAAGGAGCACTGATGAGTTTCATCTAGTGGTAAGAAAAGCCTGGAAGTTTTCCTCATGTTGACAGTAGTACACATCTGACTCTGCAGCTGACAACTGAACTTTCCTTGCCCTATTCACAGGGAGTCACAGGAGCTGAAAGGGGAGAAGGATGCAAATCAGCTTTCTTAGCAAAAGCCATTTAACTGGCTCAGCTGTATCATAACCTGTGCTATGGATCCAGAGCTGCTTTTTTTAATTGCCATGAGTGCAGCCTGCTACTGGAAAGAACAACCTTTCCCTTTGCTTATATATTTTGTAGCCCTAGCGTTGTGTACATACTAGTGTTTTGGGTGGCTGTAGTTTTATGCTGGATCCATTTCTTGGTTTAGCTCATTGCATAATCTTATGAGTGAGAAGGGAGAGGTTAGCTTTACCACTTAGCTCTTCTGGCTTGCCGAGCAGTGAAATGAACACTAGTGTTGATATAAGGAAGGGAGGTGTTGGAGCATGGCTGGGCCAAGGCGGACAATAGCAAAGCTCTGGCAATGCTTTGCCTAGGGAAATCGGCTGCAAAGCGGCACTCAGATAAAGAGGAAGCTGTTAAAGGAGGCAGAGGAATTTGGAGAACCAGCTCAGGCTGATAGTTTGGAATTCAGAGCCGAAGGGTAAAACTACTGTAGCACAAGTTCCACTTCCCATCACTGTTTGGGTACTAAGAAGTGATGAAAGGATCCTAGAACAGGCACTTGCAAAGAAGCACGCTGCTCCCCTCTGAGCACATAATCCATTGTTTTAATTTGTTCCTAAGCAAGAGCTTTTGTTTACTGTGTTTGTTGAGGTGTATCCAAGCTCTGCTCATTTCTTGTTTTAAGATATTAAGATTTTTTTTCTCTGTGGGTGGTTTATCTGAAGCTATATTAAAGTAATTGTGGCAGTAAAATGGAGAATGAGTTAATAAATAACTGAATTTGTCCCCTTTGTGTTCTACGATGGACTATCATAGGACATGCTTAACTATTTTTCCCAGAGTGTCTGCCTCATTTGAGGTATAAGATTTACAGTGCTAAGTGAATGAGATACCTGGTAAACAGCCACTTTGCTCTTAGACTTAACCAGGGTAGTTACTTTAAACCATTTGTATGCCATGGAATTAGCTGCCATGCAACTGTTAATTGATCTTTGCAGCATCTGTTTATGTCACAGGGTGGTAAACTGCTCGGGGCTTCATATACAGCTCCTGTTCCTGATACAGGTTCCTGGCTGTGTCTATGATAGTGCAGTCCGCTCAGGCTCTGGAAGTGAGTGGGCCACAAGCTATTCTCGTAAGAACTTTCCTGTTACAAACTTGCAATGTCTTAAAACTATAAAATTAAAACAAAATATTACTATTAAATGTAGGCAATAAAATAAGTACTGTCTAAAATGGATTATAACCTAAACTTAACAGGCACTACAGCTTTGTTTGCAACTTTTTGAACCTCTTTTTTCAGTCAACAACACAACTTGGGAACTGCCAAATGTTTTTTGCTGGAAGGTTCTGAAGTAGCAGGAACATCACTGAACAGAAACTAGTTATTTCTTCTGTTTCTGTGTGTGAACCCATCAGTCTTCAGTCTGCTCCTAAAAGGCCTGCTACATAGAAGTAACTAGAGGAGCAGTCATCTTGTGCCAGTCTGAGAAAGGGCTTGCATCAAAGGGGCTGTGCTTGTCTGTCATCTTTGCTGTGCTGATGCTAGTGTTAGTATGTTCTGGACCAACAAGCTGGTCACCGGCCTTACAAGAAGAAGAAGAAGAAATACCAGATTGCCACTTGAGAACTAGTGCTGGGACACCTAATTGAGTGTCACTTTGTTGATTAGATTTTGAAATATTTTTCTAATGTTTGTAAGATTTGTGCACGAATATTGGATAGTTTTGAGGTTCTGGTTTATCCAGTGATGCTGAAATCACTTTGTAAGGTTAATGGCAAAAGCTATTCTGCATTCTATTTCTGGTGTGATTTATAGGTTGATTTTTTGTAAGTGGGATGGTGATTATGTTCTGCGATGGGGCAGCTGTATTTCATTGGTGGCATAAAAGTTACCTGTATATGTAAACAGTGTTCTGTGAGTAGAAGAATTTTTAATATTTTAAGGTTCCTTAGAGACTTGTGTTCTCTGTCCCTGCAGCTCCAGTATTCTGCCTGTCCTTCTCCCTGTTTCTTACTTACCTCCAGCACTCTCCCCCATTCCTCATTCATTTCTCTTATGTCCACTAATTTTGTTGAACAAAATCTATGCCTGCTTCCAAGCTGCTTGTGTTCTGACAGCTTGCTATCATAAGCCAGAGAGCTACAGAAGAGAGATCTGTAAAGGCCAATGCTGCAAACTTTGCCTTGGGCTGTAGTTCCATGCCACTCTAAGCTGTTGATCTGCTGGCTGCTGCATTTCTCTTCCCTCATTTGAACTTACTCTCATGCTTGTCTGACCCTGCATGAAGCCATTTCTGTTTGCTTTGTCACTCTTCTTGTCAGGTTAGCGTGCTGACCCAGTGGACAACTGAAATGGCTTAGATGAGTTCTGAAGCAATAAGGAGAAAGGGGCACGAACATGCTGTAGGGATAGCAGCACCAACAACTGGCTTAGGCTTCTGGAATTTCTGCATTGCTTGGGATATTAATCTCCGAGTGTCATCAATTTGTCACAACTCATTTTGTGACAAAATTAAATGCAAGTCTCCTATTTTTGTTAGATGAGATTGAAACTGGCCACTTAGCTTTTAAGACCAAAATGACAGGTGGGCAGTGATTAGATTGTATAGGCTTTGTTTCCTCATGAAACCATACTAAAAACTGAGAATGCTGAATTTAGTAGTAGAGAGATCAATGTCGCTATATGCAAACCTCTGGTACGCATATCTTGTGTCTTGCAGTATGGTTCTTTTCCTTATTCCTCTGTTTGCAGTCTTTTATTACCAGATATGTCACTCCTGATCAGCTGTTGCTGACCTCTAGTATGTGGCTAAAATCACCTTATCTTGCTGGACAGATAAAGCAAAGTGCAGTGGGAACTTGGATGCTGCAGGGTTGTATGTTATGTGATATAGTTCAGAGTTTAGAAGTATGTAACCCAAATGTATGACTGTCAAGTTTTAAAAGGCTGAAAAGATGAAATTTGACAGAGCAGAATGGGAAGAATGACCCCTCCCAAGTAAAAGAACAAGGAAAAATTAACTGTAAAAAGTATTATGTTTACAAACCTAGGTAGTTTGAGTACTCCTATTGACTGTATTAACTTTTGCTTTTCTGTGCTTTCATGAACAGAAGAAATTGCCCTTTTGCTGACCGGTGTCCATGTAATGTGAAGTAGTTAACCCATTTGGGTCTGAAATTGGGATATCTGAGGGGGACAATGTTTGTGTTGTCTGTCTGGCCGTAATGTGAACTCAGCTGTTGCCAGTTCTGCTTGGACTGTTTTTTGGCCTATTGGGAACCAGTGGGCAGTAACACATAGTGGTTGTAAGCAGCCATATATGTACTGCTGTTACTTCAGCTGATAAATTAGGAGATAGGTGGGAGTGAGGTGCTATTGAGGATCTAGTTAGCTTGGAAGAAAGCTGAAAGTACTGAAGGGGAAGCAGACATAGAGTTGTAAGCAGCAGCAAGACTTACAGTTACTGTGGAGAGAGGATATGAAATGATACTTTGAAGGTCTGGTAGGAAATGTTTTTCTGCTTAATTTTAAAGGCAGAACTACTTTTTAAAAAGAATTAATTTTTGTTCAATTTTTGAAAATAACTGCTTTGACTTTAATTTTTCTGGAACTTTAAAAGCTGTTATAAAAAAGTTGCATACACTTCAAAGTAGGTGAAATGTAGTATTTCAAGTTCTAGTAATGAATTTTAAACAATATATACCATTCACTTAAATTAATTTCTATTGGTTCTTAACAGATTTTTATTTTATTTGCTTAAAACTTCTTTTGTTTCTTTTTTTTTAGGTGTTGGGAAATCATGTTTATTGTTACAGTTTACAGACAAGCGGTTTCAACCAGTCCACGATCTCACTATTGGTAGGTCTCTTTTGTCCCCCACAATGCTAATGGTTAAGCAGCTAGGGAACCTCAGCATGCATTTATGAGTTTTTTGTGCTGTGGTAATGTAGGATTTGTGCTGTGTTAAGGTAGCAGTGAATCTTTAGCTGATGAATATTTCTTAGCTAATAAAGCCAAGTAGAGGCCTTTTTTTCTTATTGGGAAGGTACAGTCTGAAACAATTTTAAAAATTCATAGCTAGAGTATCTCAACTGTCTCTTCAGAAAAGCTAAAAACTGGGCATGGAAGCAGAATTGGCCAAGCTTGAAATGCGTTGATGGTGGTGTGAATAGCAGATTTTTCACTAGGGAACCGAATATTAGCCTAGCCACAGAACCTTGAAAACAAGTTACAGATAAACTAAAGCAAAGTTAACCTTAAAGATGAATAAACAAATTTACTATTTGGGAAGACTAACTTCTGGATAGACAAGGATTGAAGTGTGAAGATATTCACTGTTTGGAAGGGACAGGGGTTTTTCTTCCTGAGTCCTCAACTGGATGTGGACCATTTGTGTTAGGTATGATTTGATATTGATACTGGGTGAAATGAATACATGTTGACAGAATGCATTGCCTCTGATCTAACTACAGTAAATGATACAAACTTTTCTTCATCTTTCCACGCAAAATATGAGGAATAGTGTGGGAATAAATTCTTCTGTAGGCAAGCTTAGTCTTCAGATCAGTTTCAGTGTTAAGCATAACAGATGCTAGCCTCTGATAAGGTTGCAGAACCTTTGAACAACTTCTTGATGTTATTTCAAGGAACCTATCATCTCTAATCATGATGAGCCTTGGACAAAATGTATCCCTAGTCTCTATTTTCATTTTGTGCCCTGGAATAGGTAGGCTTCCTGTGTTTGGGAGTACTGAAATAGATGCTTGAAATATCAACAAATATTCTTCATGTAACAGAATGTATCAGGTGGTTTAGTTATGGCTTCCCTTTCTCTCCACAGTCCTCCCACACCTTGTGTGTGGCTGTCTAATATAATTCCAATTCTTAGGCTAACATCAGTTTTCAAATATTTCTGAGGTCTTGGCAGCAGATAGGCTGGCTGAATAAAGAGCCTGAGTTCTTTAGGGAGGCATGAGTTATTGTCATCTCTTCTTCTTTAGGCCTGCCAAATATATGACACCTTATATATCACTTATGCCTTTAGCAGCCCTGTCACATCAGCAAACTGATAGGCTGTGGGGAAACAGCTTCACCTCAGCAGGGTGGTTGTAGTGCCAGTTCTTTGCCTGGCATATAGCTAGCTGAAATCTGGGAGCAGAAACTGAAGCTAGAAGGTGAACCTAGATAGCAACATAATGAGGGATGTAGGAATGGAACGTGGGAAGCTGCTTGGAAAGGGGAAGAAGGGGCACGGGCTGGAAGCAGCCTCCTTTCACTTAACTGATAGGGCATGTGTGTGTGTTTTGGCCAGGAGAATGCTTCTGCCAAGTGCCCAAACAGATTTAGAAAGACAGAGATAAATAAAGAACATGGGTTCAAAGTCATAGGAATGCCCATGCAGGGTGAGATGGCATGGGTGGATGTTACCTAATGTGCTTCCAACTGATGATGTTAAAACTCCTGAGAACTTGTAGATTGAATAAAAAGGCTTGTGTTACATAGCCTAACTTTTTTCAATATAATACAATGATTTTGGCCTATGGGAGTGCAGATTCTATTCCTGCTGTGAGGAACTCGGGAGAGTAGAAGGAAAACTGAAATTGGACATGTGGGAAAAAGACATTTCATCTAGAGTTGTGCAAAATGTAGCCCTAAATTCTAGTATAGCTAGCCTAAAATGTTATCTCTAAGATGTAAGAAATTCAGAGAGAAACTTTACCTCTAATGAAAACAAGATGGGGGGAAAAAAATAGATAGAATACATAGAAGCAGGTATTTTTCTGTCTTTGAGCTACATTCAGAATTGTGGATAGTTGTAATAGTGTACTCTAAAAGAGCTTACAATGCCACAACTGTCTCAATTTATTTTTCATTTGGGAATTGAAGTGTCTGTTATTAAAAGAAATGAAGGAGGGAGGGAGAAGCTGCATTGATGCAGTTGCAGGGGAGGAACAAACCCAAAAAAACCCCAAACACACAAACCCCCAACCGAAAAAAAAAAAAGCCCACAACATTTGTAGGTAGATATGGGTGACAAAAACCGTTGTTAAAATTCTGTTTGGTTTGCCCATTGCCCTTAGGACATGCCCTTATTGTAAATTTGAACAGCTTCTATTCCTTCTTTAAAAGAACAAACTTACCATCAAACTGTGTGTGTTGTTTCAAATTCAGAATTTTCTCTCAGCAGATACTTTGATGGAACAGGATAAATACTCTTTTAATTTTTCTGTGGGGTTGTGTGTAGAAACTAAACATTTAAGATGATTGCTGGATTTAAATCAGCAGGTCTATGTCTGCATTTTGAGATCAGGTAATACCTGCAGTGTTGACACTTGTAGTAGGCCAAGAACCTTCCCCTGGTGTTGCAGTTGACTTCAGAGAGAGCATTGTCATTCACCTGCTTCCTCCTTTCTGCCCCTCCCCCTCCATTCTTTCAACTTGTTTGCATACAGTTACCGCAAGTTATTTGGATGCTAAAGAGAGCGGGATGTTCTCTGGTCCACAGCTTTTATTTGGCTCTGATACCCTGTGTGTGGGAGAGCGGTTCCTCCTTGCCCCCTTCCCCAAAAGTTATTCTGCAGAAAGCAATGCCCCCCCCCCCCCCCCCCACCACTCACCCTCCACCTT